TATGAACACACGTGTTGGTGATTTTTGTATTTTTTTGTTTTTTAATGGTTCCGAGGTTCACTCTGAGCGGCTGTGTTCAAAAAACAAAATGGGAGGGTAAGAAAAAAGTCCGCATCTGGAATCATAAATGAAAATAATGGAAAAACAGATGCGGTTGGAAAAAGCTATGTAAAGGATGTGAAAGAACAGACTGCCAATGTACCGGAATCCGGTGGCAGCAGAACGATCCTGCTTAAAGCATTTGTCCGTGGAATCAAAATTTCGCAAAGCAGGTGGCCAGAAAAGGTGCTTAAAGCGGTCCTTGACCGATTTGGAAGAATGCCAAAAAGAGGATGACTAATGTGTCGTTCCCTATGCATCGAGAAGTTTTTGTGTTCTATTACCCTCGAAGAACTGAAAAAGAAAGCGAATTCTGTGATCACCAGTATTGCAGGTCGTCCGTGTTCACAGAAACGGTTCTTGGAGAAGTGAACAAAACTTGTCAAAGCAGAAGATACGTACTTTGAACAGAACACGCTTCGAGAGAGAGGAAGTTCTGTAAGAACATGGGAAAGCACTCGACGAGCGTACACTTACCAGCAGAACTGAGTGCTGGGTTAGTACAGCGGGATTGACGGAACATGATCCAATGCGAAAGTCAAGAAGACAAAAAAAAAGATTAACCTGTTGCTCATGATATGTATATTGTAGGACAGTCGAAATTTTGCTGAGGCATCATTTAAATTTTTATTGCAGGCTCGTTTAGAATATGATGTCCATCGCAATGAGACAGCCACATTGCAGCAGTCAGGCGCAAGTCCTGAAGCTCTTGCAGGAGCTGAATTTCGTTGTAACCAGCATAGGGTGAAATATGAACAATTAAAATCTGATGTTAAGGTCTATTAAAACTTATTTTTGATTTTGTCTGTAAAAATGTAGTATCCGTCAAGCAGCTTTAGCTCTACATGTATCTCTTATCTAAAAATTAAAAGGGTTTTGTTTTTGAAACGAGAAAATTTATTTCAGATGAAATTCAGTCTTCTAGAAGAGAATCGACGAAAAGTCATGCACAAGCAACTACTTCTTCTTCATAATGCTTTGACAGCATATTTCTCTGGTATAGATTGCATCGTTCATTCTTATGTTTAGTTACCGCGTCCAAAAGCACCATTTTATAAACATATAAAATAGTTTACAATGAGTTTTTTCCTGTTTGGTTTTCTCAGTTATTATGCAGATAGTATTGAAAATTGTTGCGGCTTATCTAAGGTTTTAAAAACTATTTTCATTGTAATTTATATTCATTTAAATCAAAAATACTTTTTATCAAAAATACTTTTTTATTCAGGTAATGCAAGAGCTTTACAGTCAGCAATGGAGAATTTGAATTTAAATGAAATGGTTAATGATGGTGTGGCTCCATCATTTTTGAAGCAATAACAAAAATTTATTACTCATTTATGAGTTTGGTATTAATTTTAGCTGTTTTAATTATTTGATTGTAATTTGTTTATAATTCAGTTAAATTATGTTCATTTTTACTGATAACAATTTTAGCCCTATTTTAAGTAGTTGAAGGAATATAACTGTGATTGTAATACTATTTTATCTGAATTCAAAGCATTCTCAAGTTTAAATTTTTCGATTTTCACAATTTAAACTTGCAGATTGTTTTCGTATCGTGTATGTTTGTACATATATTTCATGTGATGTAAGCTTTTCAATTGAATAGTTTGTTCAATTCATTTGTTCTTTTAATTTCAATAAGAAGCTTGTTTAAGAATCTTTAATTTTTCTAAATTATGATAATAATTTTGATTATATCACTGTTGTTGCAGTCATAGGTTTCTTTCCAATACTTTTAAATTAATACAAAAAAATCTTTGCGGAAGTACTATTCTTCTCTGTCAACATGTTTTTCACTTCATTATATGCTGAGATTTGTTTTCATATATTGAGAGTTGTGAGTTATTTCTACTAATTTAATTGAAAATGTGTTCAATTTATTTTTCATTTGCATTTGTCTTCATTTTGAGAAGACAATGAAAAAAATATCATTTATCATTTTGGTAGTGATATTCATAGTCTCATTTGGTCACTGAACATAAAGTTACTTTGTGTTTTTTTTATTTTGAAAGTTTCTTAAAAAGAAAATGCAAGCAACTGAGTGTAACCGTTATTTCATTACATGAGTTCTGTATTTTAGTTCATAAGTTTTCTCATATATCGTTGTTCAGAAATGTTATTTGTAATATGATCATTTTGTCATGTTTGAACAGTTTTTAAGTGGTGTATTGCACCAAATTCTCTCTTGCTTACTTCTATAATAATGTGGAGTCAAAGAAAGATATGCTGCTAATTTTAAACATGAAAGTCTTCAAAAGAGAGTTATATGTAAGAGAGATGGTAAGGTGATTATTCACTAATGATCAAAGTTTCACTGGGGAATTTCGAATTCCAGAAGAGCGAAGTAATCTCTTCAATGCACTATGCTTTAGGAGTATTGAAGAATTCTCTTTAGGAATGCTTTGATGCTATTTTAGATCGAGTACTGCTTTTTTCAATCAAAGTGAGCAGTCATTCGCTGATTGCCAGGGAAAAGAAGTCGTGAATATGTAAATGGTATTCAGTTTCTAGACAAATAACTTTGAACGTTTCTCAATTCTTTGGAATCAGTACCAGTTTGATTTCTTTTCCTCGCTTTGTATATCTGAGTTAATCTGTTGATTGCTGCCAGATTTCGAATTATTATCCTTCTTATATTTATCTGGGATTTTCATAAATTCGCAACGCAGTGAATATCTTACTCTTTGATTATTACTGTTTAGGAAATAAATGAAGTATGCTAGCACATTGTATATTAAAATTTACTTGTCCCAAGTGAAAATGAAATTATTGCAAGTCATTCATTATGCCTACTTATTATGTGTGACTTTTTCCGGCTCATTCACTCATTTTCATATTCCATTCTTGTTTGGCTAACTTGAAAATACACGTACAAAACTCGCATTGAAATTTGTTTAGCTTGTAAAGTGTCTGTCCAGATTTGTCCCCTTCCTGTGACTATTAAATTCTGTACTTATCCTTTTTGGGTTCTTTGTTTAAATCAAATAACAATGGTCATTTGGATAACTTTGCAGATCAAGCCCAAAGAATAATAGTCATGGAATGTTGCCTACATTTTTAACTATAATTTTTGGTATGGATGAATGCTGTGTGCAAGTGAATAAACAAGCAAGTGCATTGTGCAAATTCTAGCACTAAGAGCAATTTTACTGAAAAGGATGGCATACAGATTCAAGCTGGTTAGGGAATTGGCGTTACTTTTGTTTTCTAATTTGGCTTCCTTCCGAAAGCTTTTTCGTTATGAATTCTACTCTAAATAATCAATCATTTTTCTGTATTATTCAGAATGTACGATGACAAGAATGTACAAAAATTTTGTGTGCTTTTATGGGGAACATTTTTTATTTTCTTTCATTCCGCAAAAAATTAATTCATTGTTCATTTATGCAAGCAGTTAACGAATATATTTGTTGCTTCGTAATGCTTTTGTTATTTTGAGAAGGTTTTATGTTCAAAATTTGTTTGATTTTGTCTAAAATTATGAAAAACCATTAAATTCATATAAGATAAGCGAGTAAGACAGTACTGATAAGTCAATAAGACTAAGACTGAGTGGCTTTGAGAACTAAACCTGTATGGCTCGAACTTAACTCTTTGTTGCAATTAGCTCTTCTGCTCAACTTTATTTGATAATTAAAATTATGAGTTATTAAATTAATAATTAATTTTTATTTCTCTTGAATAGTAGTTCAATAGTATCATATGTAAACGCAAAAAACTAAAGATGTAAGAATTAACCAACCGAAATTGGTTGTACATCTTCACTGGTGAACTATAAAATTGATTTATTGAGCTGCATCTGTGCATACTTAGTGGCTATGTTTGGTATCTATGAGGTTAAAATCAAAAAGAAGGAAATAAAACGAATGATGAGTAGAAAAGCTTTCACAAGGATTGCATGTTTGCAAACTTCTCAAGTACAAATCTAAACATCAAACTTTATGCCAAACTCGTATTTAACAATTGGTAATCATTTCTATCACTTGTGAGGCACGCCTTCCCTGACTGATTCACATGTGTAATCATCACTTCTACATCCAACGCAGTCAAAAGTTCACTTGATTACGACTATTTCTGTGCTTGCTCGATGTGTTGTGATGCACTCAGATATTATCTTATCAGTGATTGCCAACGAATTTTTCTTCTTAGATTTGATTCTAATATTTGAATATTATTAGCATGTACTAAAAACTGAGATAGAAAAAAGAATGCATGAATTCACATCATTTCAGTAATATTTTCAATAAAACCGGAAATGGAATAAATAAAATTAGTTTTTGGATAGACAGGTCAACACTTTTTGCAGATTGATTTAGGACTGGTTTTTCTAGTTGGCGGTTGAATAGTTTGCTCAGTGATGCAGCAAACTGGAATGGCAAGTGATATGTGGTATCAGAAATTAATTCACAGAATGTAAATTTTCATTTACTTAGAACGAAGTCAGCTTTCGCGGCAAAAAAGAAATGATTTGATTTGAATGTATACAAATTTTCATTTTAATAATGCATGAACATTTGTTTATTAGTATGCACTTGCGTTTGCTTCTTAACAACAACAGAACGTCGAGACTCAAACTTCCTTGCCATTTGAACTTAAACAAAATTTATTTCAACCTCAAATTTGTACTTCTAAAAACCTTTTCAAACATTTATTTCTGCAGAAATTGAGAGAACGCATTTGTTTCTCTTTTAAAAAAAATAAATGTAAAAAATAGTTTGATTACAATTTTCTATCAAAAAGCAATACAAAAAGTTCCTGTATTATATTTGAAAAGTAATTGAGTCATCATCTATTCTATTAAAGCTATTGAATAAACAAGTAGTAAGAGAATAGCCATTTAAGACGACAGTGCAGAAGATTAAAGCAATATGTTCACTTGGTACGAAGTGATTTGTGATAAAATTATCACGAGATACACGTTTATCAAGTGTATGTATATGAGACTACAAAAATGAGAATGCCAAATGCATTAGCTTTTTTAATATTGAATTTGTATCAAAGAAATGCCACTAGACTTTGCACTTTGACATGAGATTGACAAAATAAATCGAAAAAAGCAGATGAAAAAATTTGCTTGAACTTAATTCATCATAAGAGAATGCACGTTTATTAAAGATTAGTAAAAAAGGAAGTTTAATTTCATGCATTACGTGCTGTGAACGGATTAACGAATCAGACTGTCTCACTTATTTCCGTATTTCAGCCATTCGGCTAGTCTTATCCATTGAGTGTTACTTTTTTTCAAAAATGCTAGCAGATCTAACCATTCGCACAATTATTTTGGATTTTTATTATTTTAAGAAGGATTTTTTCTTTATAAAGCTAAGTAATAACTCTTATATTACTGAACTGCGTGAACAGTCTGAGACTGCTTTTCGTCTCTTTGCTAATTTCTTGCTGCCAAACTTGTCGTTCTCAGCTTACTTAGCTTCTTCAATTATTTAATAGTTTATTCAATTTTATATTTAAGTTCACTTCCATTTCTCTACTCAATCCCATTTGTTCTCGAAAAGATTCTAATCCCAAATGTAACATCTCTCTAATTTTCAATTTCTTTCAATAATTTCATCTCTTTTTTCACTACTTTTATTGTTATGTCTATTTTTATTGTTTTTCACTATTTTTATTGTGATGCTTACGTTTATTATTAATTTGCAACTGTGACCATCAATACTTTTAGTTTTATTATTTCTTTTTACAGTACTGAGCATTTTCGTTAAGAATTTGCAGTCACTGAAGACTAATAAATAATTCGAGTAAATAAACTTTTCTTGCCAGAGTTTACCTTCAAGTACACCAATTGTGCGGCGAAGCTGACATAGATGCAACTTGGAAAAAGCCTGCAACCTTATGACTTTTCAGTTCAGTTTGTTAGTTAGAACAAAGTTCGTTAATTATACATAGTTATGTTTTGCTTGAGCCAGAAAAACCATCTACTAATAATTAACTTAACAGTGAAAATTGAACAGATGATTCAGTTAAGAGATTGAGTAATAATTAGATAAATTATATAGATTAATAGAAAAGTAAAGCAAATGATTTATAAAATGCTCAAAAGTAAGTTTTTCCACGGCAATTTATTTGCTCACAAATGTCACATACTCTAGAACTCAAATTCTGTGCGTCATTTGATGCGTTGAAAAGATTAATAAATTTGAAGTAAATTACATAAAGTGTGCTTATTTTAAGAGTGTTGTGCCACAGTACGACGCTTTCTGATTCTCAAAACTGAAAGATCAACAGCGATTTTTGTAAAATGCATTGTTATCTCACGGTAAGTCAAATTTATTTTGATCCACAACTAATAACTTCCTTATTTGCCTCAATAATTCTATTTATTCTAATTTTGTTTGCCTAATAATAAGTAGATATATTGCGTTTAGTTATTATTTATAATTGATTGAAGTTTTTATGCAGATGAAAATGAATAACTCTTTTCGCACTATTTATGGTACCTTTTTATGCAGTATTTACAAATGATAAGTTATTATTTTGTAATTGTGATTGCAAGCGAGTTTTGTCTTTCGTTTACTTTTTTCACTTTTTTCCAGTAAAATTTCAGCAAAAAAAATTATATCCCAAAATTTATTGTTGAAAATGAATAGCTTTCAGTCATTATTCTGCCATTATGCATACTTCCCAATGCAATTATTTACATTTTTAACTCTAATGGTAATTCGATAGTGATAGTTTTCTTTGTATTTCCTTGTCGTAATCAGCATTCTACGTTTTCCACGCGATTATTTTTTTACAATTGATGATAACTGGTACTGTATTACCAAATGTCATTATATCAGTGCTTGTTATTTCGTTCTTTTTATTATAGTAAAAATGCATTCTCTTGGAGGGAATTTTTGTTATGAAGGGATTTGAAACGAATTTATTATGATAAATGCTTTCAAAATCTACGTGAATAGGAGAGGAGATGGAATATGCCTGTTATACTTCTCATTTTCGATTCTTCTTTTCCCTTATAAAAATTAAATAAATTGAAATGTAAAATAAGCTAAACTAAGAGAAACTTAGTTTTAAGTCATTCAAGCTAAAATCGAATAGTTTCAAGACAGAAATCAAAGAAAATTCAAAATTAGTTCGATTGGTTCAAGTTTACACAGAATCATCACATGAAAATAAATTCAAGCATTTGAAAATGAAAAAAAATTTGCATGTTGACTTTACATTGAAAGTAATCATTTGTTGTGTAAATTATCTTGATTTTGATGCCATTTTTATTTCAGTTTTATTCCAAATTTTGATTCTATGCAAATAATTTTTTGTACTTTTAGAAAAATACCGTGACTGGATATAGTGATGGTGACATTTTTAGTAGGACGGTAAGTTTCTTCATAATTTGATAAAATAGCTTTCTACAGTCAGATTGACTTAACTTAATTCCTAATCACTAGGTCAAAGTATTCAAGCAAAAATTTGTTTTTACGTTTGTTTTATTTTGGTCAGTTAAATGCTACAAAATAAAATTGCTTATTGCTCAAAATTCGTAACAAATTTTGGTATAGAAACTGTCAATGCTTGCAAAGTGCATGCGTTATGCAAAAGAAAAAATGAAAGGTTAGATAGAAAAGAGTGTATCAGTCAAAAACGAATATTATGCACTACAAACATGACTGTACGCTATTTAGATTTGCACTTCTCGACGTATTAGACAAATCTTCAGTTACTGCTTGAGTTTAATTGCTGAAGCAGTAAGTTTTGGTGCATTTATTGCTTTGTATACTAATTGGTAAGTTAACACCAAACTTTGTATTTTAATGTTTCGCAAGGTTTTTAGTACAATTCGCTTGATAATTAATAATTCAAACGTCATTTTTCTACTTTTAATTTCAATAATTTGTCATTAGCAATATTTTGCATATTTTGCTTTTGATTGACAAATTTATTCACGTGATAAGAGTAGAGCAACAATTTTTCATTTGTAGGTGAAGGTCACATTAAGCTCATTTTTAGGTATCACTTATCGAGAACCGGTTGAGGTAAGAACGAAAATTGCTACACTCGAAAAACTTTAAGTTAGACATTTTCTTCGCTTGCTTAGCTAGCAATTGCCTAGTTTAGATCATTCAGTGACTTCACTGATCATCTTTTTTTCCACTCAATCATCAAAGTCTTACAAAAATAGCAATAAAGTGTTTGTCGAGTCATTTGCTTCTACGAGTCAACACTGCATTGACTGAACATCCCTCTTCACTTAATCTTTTCAGTCTTAAGCACTCATTGATAAAATTCTAAATTCTTCAATTAACACTGCTTCTTTCTTTGCATACATACGGATGCAACTATTATTTTTTGTCGTGGAGTGACGACTAAGCACGCTGCTACATACTGCGAGTATGTAATTGATCTTATTGTTGAAGAAGTGATATTTTTTGGAGGAGGGCTGAAGGATGGAAGGAATCAGAATAAGCGCGCTCTATAGTTGTCGTTCTCACATACAGGAATTATTTTAAGTAAACATTCAGCAGCACTGACTATTAACTTCTTTAAACTAAAGCCTCAATCAAATAAATAACAGCGAGTACTACTAGTCTCTTCAGCTTTTACTGCTATTCTTTTCACTAAATGAGTAAATAAAAACAAAATATTCTGTCAAAATAGCAACTTCGTGAATCTTTTTCTGCTTCTTTTGTGTCTTTGGTAGTATTTAAGAAAAGAAAGAAAGAGATCGGATTTGCACGTCTTAAAATTGAATTTCCGCGCATTTAAGTTTAATGAGAATGAGAAGGGAACGCAAAAAAAATTGACGACGACATGACACTCTTATTGACGTTAGAGATTTTATTCTATTACTTATGGAAACAATGCTGCTAAGAATGAGGAATTTGTTTGAGGTTTTGATATGTAGATGGGCACGTAATCATATTTATAGGTGCATTTCATCTGCTAGCATGCACACCTCCACCATCAGTCACCTCATTGTTTGTTTGGCGTGGTGTATGTGCCTTGTACAACATGTCTGTTTATGCCTGATTGTGCTTATAGGTAGGTATATATATAGAGCGGAGGAGAAGTATAAATTTTACTTCTAGGAAAAGAAAAGCTATGAGTGAAATTGAGAGGGCAAGTTTTCTTTACTTGAGTTTCACGCAATCAGTGTAATCGAGCAGAGTATGTCTTCTTGTATAAATTGCTCCTCACAAGGTAACTAATCGCTCTTCTCATCAAGAATCTAATTTCAGTTCAAGTTAAATTATTACCGCAGTCGTATCTTTGCTATAGCAACGTGATTTACAGCCCCGTTATTTGTTTTCAATCACTGCAGAGAATTGCAAAGCACAAAGTGAAGTGTAGCAGACTTAACCTCCACCTTTGACCAGTAAGTAGCAAAATGAGCTAACTTCAGATGGTCAATAATGATGATTTTTGATTACATTTCAATTGATTCAATGCATTACTAATTTTTCATTGCAAGATCTTTTAACACTGCCGCTAGTATTTGCTACTTGGCATTATGCACCAGATACACTCATTTTCGATAGTAACTCCCACTCTAGCTTCTAGATTCAGTTGAATGTAAGATTCTTTCAGCAGAATTATCCTTCTCTCTTCGGTTAACAAAATGTCATATACCGTTTTTCATAATAAATAATTGTCGTATTATGATTTTTGTTTCATTCGGAAGATAATTATCAAAAGCAAGCAAAGAATGCAAACAGCCTTTAGAAGCACTCGTCAACAGAATTTTGCCGCAAGCTATAAGCAGCTCATATGGAGTACTTTTCAATTCCAAACTTGCTCTTTTCCCTTAGCGAAATACGCTTTGAAGGAACAAAGAGTGAGTTTGAACTGAATTGAAAGGTTCATTGCCGTTGCTGTCATTACTAATTCTAACTACCATTTATTATTAGTGCTAATAATCTTTCAACAAAATGTTACGTCTACATTTACTTTTCACTATTGAAAGTGACCATATGACTTACTACTTACTACTTACTTACTTACTTACTTACGCTTCCCACAAATTCATTTCTTGCCAACTTATCATGACACTTGCCTTGCAAATTATTCATAAACTATTCTCTTTAAGAAATGCGAACCATTCCATATAGTTGATTATATATTTTCGCGATTGCTTACAGAAATATTTTCTAATTATTACTGCAATAATTATAAGTGATTGTTTGTATGTTTCTCATTAGACAAAAGCAATACTTGAGTAAGTCTAAGCTGGAGAAGACTTTCAACTTGCTAGCAAGTAAGTTAGTTGTTACTTTTGCTACTTCTAAAGTTTTTCAAACTGAAAATATTGCTTGTTCACAAAATTTATTCTCGCTAAGCAAATATTGCAAGCTATGAAAATCAGTGAAAGTATGAAAAGAAAAAAGGTCATTATTCGCTTACTTTCCTCTAAAGTTTTCCTATTTATTTTTTCACTTAAAAGTGTCGGAAAGTAACGCAAGAAATAGAAGTAA